GGCGGACACGCCGAAAGGGCAGCTGGCCGGCGACTCCATCCTCCGCCACAATAACTACACGCGCTACATCGTCTTCTACTACTTCAATGCCATCTCCTTCACCGCGTCGCTCCTGGTCGGCCTCCTCCTCCTCATCGTCCACCAGGATGACCAGCGCTGGGGCAACTGGCTGCTGCTCCAGCTCGTGCGTGTCATCATGGTGGTTGACATGCTGGGCCTCATGGGGGCCTACGGCACCGGGAGCAGCCACGACGACTTCACCACCCGTTGCGGCTATTAGCCCACACAATCACCGGCTCAGGTGAATCGATAACTCACCAGTCTTGCTGAGCACATGCTAGTGTTGCCGAGCACTCACTAGCTAAGCCGACCACGAACAAGCGTTGCCCGTCCCCACACACCATGGCTAGAGGTTGAAGAAGAGGGAGAACAGAGCATACACACACAGTACAAGACACCAGCGTTGGCCGAAGCCCTGTATGGGAGATGGCAAATCTGAACTCTATTTACTGAGTTGTCGTGGTAGTCTATTTATACAACTCTATCCATCTAGTCCTATTATAGCTCACATGCTGTAACAGTAACTAGATAACATACAGGGATGACTCTACGCCGTCTTCTGCACGTGGCTACAGTGCTGCAGGTGAGCCATTCGGCGCTGCACTTGCAGCGGCTACAGTATCACAGCAGGGAGCCTTTTCGGCACCGCCTTCCTCTTGCTGTGTGTTCACACAAGAAAGCAGTAGATTATTCTAATAATCTTCCCCTAATCCTACTGCTATCCCTTGTACCCCCTCCATGCCGATCATCTCTTTTAGCTCCATGAGTCGAAGACATCCGAGCGGCTTGGTGAGGACGTCCACGAGTTGCCGACCAGTTTCGATGAACTCGATGACGATCTGCCCTCTATCGACACAGTCCCTAAGGAAGTGGAACTTCACGTCAATGTGTTTGTTCCGGTCGTGCAGAACCGGATTCTTCGCGAGGGCGACGGCGGGCTGGTTGTCCACCATCAGTGCTGGTGGGTGAGCTTCCATGCCGGTCAGGTCACCCAGCAGCCGGCGCAGCCACACAACTTGGCACCCTGCTGTGGCCGCTGCTACGTACTCTGCCTCACACGTAGATAGTGCCACCACCTTCTGTTTTAGCAACAGCCATGAAATTGGGGTCGACCCGAGGAAGACGAGCACGCTAGAGGTGCTCTGTCGTCCGTCGATGTCCCCCGCCATGTCTGCATCGCTGAACACAGTGAGCTGCAGCCTACTCCCACCGGTCTTTGGGAAGATGATCCTCTGATCTACTATCCCCTTGACATAGTGTAGTAGCCGCTTCGCTGCAGCCTAGTGATCCTCTCTGGGATCCTCCATGAAGTGACTGACGTAGCCCACGGTGAACGCAATGTTCGGCCTCGTGTGGACTAGATAGCGCAGACCGTCGACGATGCTCCAGTAGAGTGTTGCATCCACCTTCGCCGTGGTGCTGACCTTCGTCAGCTTCAGCCGCTCCTCCATTGGAGTCACGCATGGCTTGCACTCAGCCATGCCACTCCGCTCCAACAGTTTGGAGGCATACGCGCTCTGACCGAGCATGAGTTCCTCCTTCCCCTGTCTCACCTCGATGCCGAGGTAGTAGGAGAGTGCGCCGAGATCGCTCATTCAAAAATGAGCCGCCATCTCACGCTTGAAGCTGTTGATGTCCTCCGTGCGCGCGCCGATGACGATTAAGTCATCCACATACATGTCGACGACAAGCTCCTCCTTCCCCCGTCGCCGCATGTAGAGCGCGTGCTCGGTTGCGCACCGCTGAAACCCAAGCTCGCCCAGCGTGGCGTCAAGCTTGGCATTCCATGCTTGTGGGGCATGCCGCAGCCCGTAGAGTGCCTTGTGCTGTCGGAGCACCCTGTGCTCCTCTCCCTTGATGGCGAAACCTGGAGGTTGCCTGACGAAGACCGTCTCTGCCAGCTCGCCGTTGAGGATGGCCGATTTAATGTCCAAGTGATGGACGCGCCAGTCCTTTGCTGCTGCCAAAGCTAGTAGCAAACGGATCGACTCCATGCGTGCTACTAGCGCAAAGACTTCTTTGAAATCTATGCCCTTGCGTTGAACAAAGCCTCGGGCGACGACGCGCGCCTTGTGCTTGACAATGGCGCCGAGCTCGTCCCGCTTGACCTTGTATACCAACTTTAGGCTGATCGGACAGCATCCTAGAGGTGGATCGACGAGCTACCATGTCTCGTTTTCCTCGATTGCCTTCATCTCCTCCAGCATCGCCCGTCGCTAGTTTCCATCCCGCTCGACCAACGCGAACGTGGGTGGTTCTTCTACACCGACGAGTAGCAGCTCTACGTCATTGAGCAGCCGACCAGCTAGTCCTGAGGGTCCTGTGCCGCCGCCGATGTCGTCTAGACTGCGGAACCGCACCTCCTCACCTTTGTGGAAGGCATCCACGAACTCAGTGATGTCATTTGGAGGTGAGGCGAACTCGATCGGCGTCGATGGAGTTCCCTGTTCCACCGGAGTGCTCGGCACAGCACCTGGAGTGCTTGGCACCCTGGTTGAAGTGCTCAGCACTACTTCTGGACAGCTCGTCACTACTCCTGCAGTGCTCGACACAACTGTAGGAGCGTTCGGCCTCAGTCTTGGCGTGGTCGGTACCACTGCAAGACTTCTTGGCTCCACCACGGGAGTGCTCGGCACCCGTCCTGGAGTGGTCGCCACCACTGCAGAACGTCCCGGCACCACTCCTGGCGTGCTCGGTATTCCTCTCTGAGTGCTTGGCACTCCTCTCTGAGTGCTCGGCATCCCTCCTGAAGTGCTCGGCACTACTCCAGGAGTGCTCGGCTCTGCCGTTGGAGTGCTCGGCACCTCTTCCCCAGCGTCTCCACCACCGTGGATGACCAAATGCTCGACTGCGAAGGTGTTGGTGTGTTGGAGATATGCCCTAGAGGCAATCATAGAGATGATGATATTCCATTGTATCCATGTTTCATATTGTGTTCCTTGAATATCCATTAAAGGCTACTTGAATTGATTTGCAATTATGTGAATTGTATGTGAAACTCTTTACTTGTATGGTTATTCTAAAGTTGTCCCTAGTCGGAGTTCATGTGAGGACACACATGAATATTAGACTAGTACATGTATTAGCTGATGACTATGTTTCACAAGTCATGGACATGAAGATGTCAAACTAATAATGTGGGCACGTGTACAGACATGTGCTAGGACCGACCCAACATGAGATATAGTTACATAGTTCTCTTTACACAACGTGTACGCTTTGTCCTTAGACCTGAGATTGTTGTATGCACTCAAGATGTGAATTGACTTACTTAGGGGCTATCAAACGCTACTCCATAACTGGGTAGTTATAAAGGTAGCTTTCGGGTTTGTCAGGAAGCATGCTGTGAGGCATGATCAGTCAAGATGGAATTTGCCCCTGTCTTCTTGAGAGAGATATCTCTAGGCCCCTTGAGTGATCGAATCCAGAAATGCATGGCCATGCTACGTGAGGTTAAGAGTTAACCTAGGAAGGGATTTTGAATCACAGGATCGAGAAAGAGAGGTTGGCTTGGAGCTAGACCAAATATCATGAGGCAAAGGGAATAGCATGTACATAATGTTGTGATGGTTCGTCTGATATGATCTTCGTGTGCGTATAGGAGTTGGCATGTCTTGCTAGAGGCCGCTACCAACTATTGGCCGAGTAGAAGTACTCATGTCATGTCTATACGTATGTGAACCTATAGGGTCGCACACTTAAGGGGCTGGAAGCCCAATGAGGATCTGATCCGAATTGGACCAAGTTTAGAAGTACTAATGGGCCTCGGACCTAGAGGCCTGTCAGGGACCTCTACATATTGAGGGGTGGGGGCGGCTTAGGGTTTGGACCCCTTTTGGTGCAGCAGTTGCTGCTCTATCTTCCACACCCAGCAGCTGTTCATCTCCCAAGCCCTCACCGAGTTGCACTCACGGATCTAGCAGTCCGACTTGCGATGTTTCCTCCCTGCATGTGTGGATACCTTGGAGGTGTTGCATCTGCAACACTTGGACGAGCCGCTGCACGAGGAGGACGCCGTTGCACGTTTGACGTGGAGGCGATCGACTACTCTACTTTGACGTGGTGATCAACTACACTGCCCCGACGCGCCTCATCAACTTCCGCATCTGCGCGTCTAGTGGTAATCCCGTGATATATAACTAGCAGTAGATCCTGGTTTATGAGGTCAAAATTTTGTTTTCCGGCTAGCATAGCATCCTCATAACCCTTCAGTGGTATCAGAGCCGTTACTGTGTTGTTATAGGTTTGGATGAGTGCGTATGGAGATATGCGCGGTTGTAAATGAGTCTCTGATCATGGTTCGTGATTTTACCGTGTTGGTCTTGTAACGATCTACTCGTACTGGTCAGAATTCCGCCATCTGAGTTAAGTGATACATGTAAATCCAGTCATGGCAAGATGGAGATCAATTAGATTGATCGAATCGAACCTAGGTCAAGTGCCGAGCGTATGTGATGTGCAACAGTGATAGATTTGATCTACTGTCGGGCACCGGGGTGCAAGAAAAAGTGTTGTTCGGTAAAACAGCCATAACTTTTGCATACGACCTCGGATTGAGACGGATTTTATATGAAAATTGTAGAGAAAAAAAATTTACATCCGATTCTCACCGCTTTGGTGGTTTCGCTGAAATTAGATTTGCGAAAAACAGCCGGGAAGATGGTGTTTTCGGCGTTTTAAGATTATACGTCGGAATCGGTTAACTCTGTTTTGCAGGAATTTAAGACTGGTATAGCCCTTATGTGTATGTGATGCATGTATGTAATTAATTCATGGCTTGCATGTCGTGAGTATGACAATATGGCTAGAGCCACAAAGATATTGTCAATTTGATGTAATGCCCTACGTGCCAAACTATGATGATCCTATCCGCGACTATGTAATTGTCTTCACTGCCCTGCGTTAGTGATAGCTAGTCTTGGTGGACTCATCACTGAAGGATGGCATACATGGATTATGGAGATGGAGATCATCATGAGGAACAGTTTGATGGAGATGGAGATCCCCAAAGGAACAATGGGCTATACCATGTCATATCTGTGTTAATGTCGATCTTACTATATTCTACTTTCACGTGCGATAATGTTTTGTCTACATGCGATGGTGAAGTAGAACGATCCCTCGGAAATGTTTAAGTTAAAATGCCTCCCCAAACCTTGCACTATCATGTGTCTTGTACAATCAGTGGTGGGTCTATTAAATTAGGGTGCCACTGGTTTTCCTTGACTAGACAGGTTTGTATAGGATACTTACACGCATAAGGGTTGGTTTGCTTAACAAGGTCATCTTAACGGTTAAGGACTTTGGGGCATGAAGGTTGGGCGCCGAGACATGGAGATGTCACCCAACAACAGGAGTCATATGTGATATGATTAGCAAAGAGTTGCTTACCGATCTACCTTGACTGCTAGCGGTGATGCTAATGCTCACTAGTAGACTTGTTAGTTGTGGATCCTGAATCACTAAGTATCAATAGAGGGATATTGATTTTAGTGGGAGTAGAGTATGTTAAAAGTTTAATGTGATTTACTCTGCCATGGATACTTTTATCTTAGTATTTTGCATTATTATTTGTTGTAGATTAATGGCACCTAGCAACAGCACACCGTTTGCTTTGCGTTCAGTTCTTGAGAAGGACAAGTTGAATGGAACAAACTACACGGATTGGATCCATAACCTGAGAATTGTTCTTAGGGCTGATAAAAAGGAAGATGTTCTAGACACCCCATTACCAGAAGAACCTGCTGATGATGCACCTGCTACCATTAAGAATGCTTACAAGAAAGCATGTGATGCTAATCTCGAAGTAAGCTGCCTTATGCTTGCTTGCATGGAACCCGAACTGCAGATGCAGTTTGAAACAAATCATGTGCCGTACGATATGATTGTGGCGCTTAGAGACATGTTCTAGACACAGGCTTGGACTGAAAGGTTCAATGTGTCTAAGGCTTTTGTGGAAAGCAAGCTAGCAGAAGGCGCAGCAGTAGGGCCACACGTAATCAAGATGGTTTGTTATGTTCAACGGTTGGAGAAGCTGGGCTTCCCACTGGGCCAAGAGTTGGCCACTGATTTCATTCTTTCATCTCTTCCGCCTAGCTATGGGAACTTCATATCGAACTACCATATGCATGGGGCGTAGAAGGGTCTGAATGCACTGTGCGGCATGCTTAAAACAGTAGAGGGTGACATTAAGAAATGCGCTGGAAGCAGCCATGTGATGGCAATGTAGAACAAGCCTAGCTTTAAGAAGAAGGGCAATTCTTGGAAGAAGAAGGGCAAGGTTTTGAAGTCTAAGCCAAACCCAGCGCCCAAGGTTAAAGCTGGACCTGCTCCAGACAAAGAGTGCTTTTATTGTCACGAACTTGGTCACTGGAAGAGAAATTGCAAGCAGTATTTAGCTTCGTTGAAGAATGGCGGAAGTAAGAGTACTTCCACCTCAGGTACGCTTGTTATTAATGTTATAGACAACATATTTCTCACTGATACAATTATTAATTCTTGGGTATTTGATACCGGATTGGTTGCTCATATTTGCAATTCGATGCAGGGACTGATAAAAAGTTGAAGCATTGAAAGAGGAGAAGTTGATTTCCGTGTGGGCAATAATGCAAGGGTTGCTGCGTTGACCGTCGGGACGATGCAACTCCACCTCCTATCAAGATTTATCATGGAGTTAAATAATTGTTATTTCATTCCAAGTTTAAGTCGAAACATTATGTCTCCTTCATGCTTGATGAAGGATGGTTACTCATTTGTGAGTGAAAACAATGGTTGTGTGATCTCTAAGAATAATATGTTTATGGCTTTTACACCCATTGTGAATGGATTGTTTGTTTTAAGTCTTGATGATTCACCTGTCTATAATATAAGTGCTAAAAAGCCTCGGCTTAATGAGTTAAGTCCTACCTATATGTGGCATTGTCATTTAGGTCATATAAGTGAGAATCGCATGAAGAGGCTCCATTCTGATGGGCTTTTAACTTTGTTTGATTTTGAATCATATGAGACATGTGAGGCTTGCCTGCTGGGCAAGATGACCAAGACACCTTTCACAGGTTTTCCTGAGAGGGCGGCAGACTTGCTGGAACTCATACATACTGATGTGTGCGGACCAATGAGTACGACAGCAAGAGGCGGATTCCAATACTTCATAACCTTCACTGATGACTTTAGTAGATATGGCTATGTCTACTTAATGAAACATAAGTCTGAGACATTTGAAAAGTTCAAGGAGTTTTAGAGTGAAGTAGAGAATCAATGTGGCAAGAAAATTAAGGCTTTGCGATCTGATCGTGGAGGCGAATATTTGAGCCACGAGTTTAGCAATCATCTAAAGAGTTGCGGAATTGTTCCACAACTTACGCCACCTAGAACGCCTTAGAGAAATGGCGTGTCCGAGCGACGTAATCGGACTTTGTTGGACATGGTTTGGTCTATGATGAGCCAGTCAGACCTACCGTTATCATTTTGGGGATATGCTCTAGAAATAGCCGCTTTCACATTGAATAGGGTATCGTCTAAGTCTGTAGTTAAGACACCACATGAGATGTGGACTGGTAAGAGTCCCAGTTTGTCTTTTCTGAAAATTTGGGGTTGTGAAGTTTATGTCAAACGACTTATGATAGATAAACTAACACCCAAGTCAGACAAATGCTTTTTCGTGGGATATCCGAAGGAAACTTTAGGGTATTACTTCTACAACCGATCAGAGGGCAAAGTGTTTGTTGCTCGGAACGGTGTTTTCTTAGAGAAAGAGTTTCTCAAAAGAGAGAAAAGTGGACAGAAGGTGTATCTTGAAGAAGTTCAAGATGAGCCAGTTGGGAAGGACTCTACGAGTGATGCTAATGTAGCAGAATAAGTTCAGATACCCGTGGCAATAGAAACACCGCCACAACCACGAAGGTCAGCAAGGATCCATGAGTTGCCTGGGGATTTGTTATTGTTAGATGATGACGAACCTACGACTTATGTGGAAGCAATGATGGACTCAGATTCCAAGAAATGGCAAAGTGCCATGAGATCCGAGATAGATTCCATGGGAAACAATCAAGTTTGGAACTTGGTTGACCCGCTTGATGGGGTTAGACCTATAGAGTGCAAATGGATCTATAAAAAGAAAAAGGATATGGATGGAAATGTTCACATCTATAAAGCTCGACTTGTTGCAAAGGGTTTTCGACAAGTTCAAGGAATTGACTACGATGAGACTTTCTCGCCGGTAACGATGCTTAAATCTATCCGGATCATTCTAGCAATAGTTGCTTATTTCGATTATGAGATATGGCAGATGGATGTTAAAACAACCTTTCTAAATGGAAATTTGGATGAGGACGTGTATATGATATAGCCCGAAGGTTTTGTTGATCCAAACAATGCTGGAAAAATTTGCAAGCTTCAGAAATCCATTTATGGGTTAAAGCAAGCATCTCGAAGTTGGAACATTCGTTTTGATGAAGTGGTCAAAGGGTTTGGCTTCCGTCAGAATGAAGAAGAACCTTGTGTTTACAAGAAGGAAAGTGGGAGCGTTGTTGTATTTTTGATCTTGTATGTGGATGACATATTATTGATTCGGAATGACATTCCTATGTTGCAATCCGTAAAGACTTCACTGAATAATATTTTTTCTATGAAGGATTTAGGAGAAGCAACATACATTTTGGGCATCAAGATCTATAGAGATAGATCGAAGAGACTTATAGGATTAAGCCAAGATACGTACATTGACAAGGTGTTGAAACGGTTCAACATGGAACAATCCAAGAAAGGGTTCTTGCCTATGTCACATGGTATGCGCTTTAGCGATAAACAGTGTCCTTCGACAGCTGATGAGCGGAAGCGCATGAGTAAGGTTCCATACACCTCGGTAGTTGGTTCCATCATGTACGCCATGATATGTACTCGCCCAGATGTCTCATATGCTCTAAGTGTTGCGAGCAGATACCAAGCTGATCCAGGAGAGAGTCACTGGACACTTGTTAAAAACATTCTTAAGTACTTGAGAAGGACTAAAGATGTGTTCCTAATCTATGGAGGTGAGGAGGAGCTCGTCGTAAATGGTTACACCGATGCTAGCTTCCAAACTGACACGGATGATTCACAGTCTCAATCAGGTTTTGTGTTCACAATAAATGGTGGTGCTATAAGTTGGAAAAGTTCCAAGCAGGAGACGGTGACAGATTCTACAGCAGAGGCCGAGTACATTACAGCTTCTGGAGCTACGAAGGAAGGTGTTTGGATGAGGAGGTTCCTCATTGAACTTGGTGTGTTTCTGAATGCATCCAGCCCATTGAATCTACATTGTGACAACAATGGGGCAATTGCGCAGGCTAAGGAGCCAAGGAATCACCAAAAGAACAAACATGTACTGCGGAAATTTCACCTCATTCGAGAGTTCATTAGACGAGATGAGATCAAGATGTGCAAGATACACACAGATTTGAATGTTGCAGATCCTTTGACAAAGGCTCTTCCACAGCCTAAGCATGAGGCGCACATGAGAGCTATGGGTATTAGATATCTTCTAGATAGACTCTACTGCAAGTGGGAGACTGTTGGAGATATGCCCTAGAGGCAATCATAGAGATGATGATATTCCATTGTATCCATGTTTCATATTGTGTTCCTTGAATATCCATTAAAGGCTACTTGAATTGATTTGCAATTATGTGAATTGTATGTGAAACTCTTTACTTGTATGGTTATTCTAAAGTTGTCCCTAGTCGGAGTTCATGTGAGGACACACATGAATATTAGACTAGTACATGTATTAGCTGATGACTATGTTTCACAAGTCATGGACATGAAGATGTCAAACTAATAATGTCGGCACGTGTACAGACATGTGCTAGGACTGACCCAACATGAGATATAGTTACATAGTTCTCTTTACACAACGTGTACGCTTTGTCCTTAGACCTGAGATTGTTGTATGCACTCAAGATGTGAATTGACTTACTTAGGGGCTGTCAAATGCTACTCCGTAACTGGGTGGTTATAAAGGTAGCTTTCGGGTTTGTCAGGAAGCATGCTGTGAGGCATGATCAGTCAAGATGGAATTTGCCCCTCTCTACTTGAGAGAGATATCTCTGGGCCCCTCGAGTGGTCGAATCCGGAAATGCATGGCCATGCTACGTGAGGTTAAGAGTTAACCTAGGAAGGGATTTTGAATCACAGGATCGAGAAAGAGAGGTCGGCTTTGAGCTAGACCAAATATCGTGAGGCAAAGGGAATAGCATGTACATAATGTTGTGATGGTTCGTCTCATATGATCTTCGTGTGCGTATAGGAGTTGGCATGTCTTGCTAGAGGCTGCTACCAACTATTGGCCGAGTAGAAGTAATCATGTCATGTCTATACGTATGTGAACCTATAGGGTCGCACACTTAAGGGGCTGGAAGCCCAATGAGGATCTGATCCGAATTGGACCAAGTTTAGAAGTACTAATGGGCCTCAGACCTAGAGGCCTGTCAGGGACCTCTACATATTGTGGGGTGGGGGCGGCTTAGGGTTTGGACCCCTTTTGGCGCAACAGTTGCTGCTCTATCTTCCACACCTAGCAGCTGTTCATCTCCCAAGCCCTCACCGAGTTGCACTCGCGGATCTAGCAGTCCGGCTTGCGACGTTTCCTCCTTGCACATGTGGACACCTTGGAGCTGTTGCATCTGCAACACTTGGACAAGCCGCTGCACGAGGAGGACGACGCTACACGTTTGACGTGGAGGCGATCGACTACTCTACTTCGACGTGGTGATTAACTACACTGCCCCGACGCGCCTCATCAACTTCCGCATCTGCGCGTCTAGTGGTAATCCCGTGATCTATAACTAGCAGTAGATCCTGGTTTATGAGGTCAAAATTTTGTTTTCCGGCTAGCGTAGCATCCTCATAACCCTTCATGGTGAAGCCGCCAACTTCCCCCATGCTCGGACTGCTCCAGTCCCAAGCCGCCTTCTCGTCGAACACGACGTCGCGTGAGACAAGCACCTTGTCTCCGCATGGGTCGTAGAGCCGTTACGCCTTGGTACCCTCCGCGTAGCCTAGTAACACCATCGGTGTGCTCCTGTCCTCTAGCTTGGTGAGGTTCGGCTTTGTCTTCCTGACGTGGCCGATGCAGCCGAATGTCCGGAGGAAGGACACACTTGGCTTGCGCCCATACCAAGCTTCGAACGGCGTCGTGCCCGTCAGGGCTTTGGTCGGAGCGCGGTTGAGGATGAACACCGTCATGGTCACTGCCTCCCCCCAGAACCTTACCGGCATGCCTTTGGCCTTCATCATGCATCGGGCCATGCCGACCACCGTCTGGTTTTGTCGCTCCACCACGCCATTCTGTTGTGGCGAGTACGACATACCACTTGTTATCCCACAGGATCATCGGCTCAGGTGAGTCGACCACTCACCAGTCTTGCCGAGCACCCGCTAGTGTTGCCGAGCACCCACTAGCTAAGCCGACCACGAACAAGCGTTGTCCGTCCCCACACACTATGGCTAGAGGTTGAAGAAGAGGGAGAACAGAGCATACACATACAGTACAAGACACCAGCGTTGGCCGAAGCCCTGTATGGGAGATGGTAAATATGAACTCTCTTTACTGAGTTGCCGTGGTAGTCTATTTATATAACTCTATCCATCTAGTCCTAGTACAGCGCACATGCTGTAACAGTAACTAGATAACATACAGGGCTGACTTTGCGCCGGCCTCTGCATGTGACAACAGTGCTGTAGGTGAACCGTTCGGCGCCTGCACCTGCAGCGGCTACAGTATCACAGCAAGGAGCCTTTTTGGCACCGCCTTCCCCTTGCTGTGTGTTCACACAAGGAAGCAGTAGATTATTCTAACAACGACGCCTGTTTGCTGGCGTCCGGCATCTTCGCCTACGCCATCGCCTGCCTCATTTACAACATTGTTGATCCCAAATCTCAGGTGAAAAAAAGTCTGTCGTCGTCGTCGTCGGAGGCGGCCACTACGCCATATAGTATTTATAGGGGCGGCTCTAGAGGCTTTGTAGAGGCGGTTTGCCCAGTCGCACCTACCCAAGCGCCTATACAAATCTTGCATTTGTAGGGGCGGTTCTCAGACTGCCCTTACAAATCGATTTGTAGAGGCGGCTGGTGTTATCAGTCGTCCCTACAAATCGATTTATACGGACGGCTGTAGTACCAGCCGCCCCTATAATACCTGTTTGTAGGGACGGTTCGGTCTAAAACCGCCCCTACTGTATATTTTTCGGTAAAAAAAAAAATTTAAATTTACAATTCAAATTCGATCAGAATATATATACATATATATATATATATATATATATATATATATATATATATATATAAATCAAATATGATCAGAACATATATAATTCAAATCTGACCACAGGCACAAGAGCATTATATAAACTATCGTTACAACCCTGTATTTTCGTCGTGTACAAAGAATATCAGATAGACATCGTCTTCTTCTCCAGATACACCTGGCTGCTTGGGAACAAAAATCGCCTCTGAACCGAATCTACCAGGTCCCAGGTCATATATGTCTAGTATATTTCCTCCCACTTCAAGCTCTTTCTTACCACTCTCCGGTTCAACATGCAGATCAAATTTTATAATGCCAGTCATCTTCGCAATGCTGTCAAGTATAGTGCAGTAGACATACCTACCGCTGCTTTCTGTTTTCAACAAAAGTGGCAAATTAGAAATCCTCAGAGCTTCTGGAAGCATCTAACTAGATTCTTTAATGATGTTCAGTTCATAGAATATCTACTACAGAGGAAAATTGAAAAAAATGAAATTGACAGTAAGCGTGCTTCCACTAAAACAAAAGAATCAATACTAACTTAATTGAAAATATCCAATAGAGGTACCGGCCAGTATAGCTTTCATTAACACGAGGAAAATCCACAGCAGAAACAGACAGCTGCTTTTGTGAAGCAGCGCCCGATTTCATGTTGAATCTCATCTCGTACCTAAAATATTGGCATTAGAAAAATGGCAAGCACTGCATTACTTCATAACAAAAATATAGATCAAGATTGCAGGTATATACAGCTCATTCCCGAAGTTTTCGAGCTTGTCATTTTGATGTCCATTCACTTTGTCCAAATCTGGGTTCTCAAGACGGCAGGTAGTGAGAACAACTTCATCACCCTCTTCCCAAGCATTAGCTGTGACAACACATGTTATCAAAGATCAGCTCAAACTAAGGAATACATGGAATTGCATAGTCAAGCATAGTAACTTGAAACCGATCTAGCTTGAGTCCTGTTCTTCTGACATAATTCTATCAGAAGCTCCTAAAGTTAGAAGCACAAGTTTGCAAAAAAATGAAAGAAAGAGAAGAAAACAGGGTTAGACAAAAATCTAAAAAGGCCATACATTAAGAGTTCCAGCAGAGAGCTAAAGACACCATACCATTATGGAATATGAAGCAATTAGGGAGTTCAAACCATCTAATGAGTTTGTCATCCTTTGCATAGCGTGGGAGAATACCAAAACGAGCTTTCTTTGTAGGATCAAACTTGTAGATAAACCCACCGTTCTTCACCATTTCCTGTATACAATCATATAAAACAATAATGAACTAGTTATGAAAACAGGTTTGAAGCATTTCTTAACTGCATTAAATAGGAATCAACTAGGACATCCATCAGCTGAATGGAGGTTCATGTGAATATCCGAATGTGAACATTAAAAGTTGTCAGAAATCAGAGGGAAATCAAGAAATAGTACTGAGCCAATGTAATTTACCTGTAAAAGGGTCAACCTTTGGATGGGCAGTGAAAGAATGTTTCAACCTTTTGTCATAATCCAACAAGCCAAGAGTCTGCAAGTCTCCATCTTCAAGGACCTTAACAACATCTAAAAATGTGGAACACATGTTCTGCATTAGCATAATTACTGCAATGGATGTGTGTGGTCTGTGGATAACAAAAGATTGCAGTAGCGTGTAAAAATCAGGATGTGATCTCTGCATAGTTGCAAACAGAATGTGCCATCGGAAAAGATTTTCAAGATTCCTATGGCAAATCTGTCTTACACAGTGTGATGTCTTTTTGCTCTTTTTATTTCTAGATACACATGATGTTGACGTAGTATACTAGTAATGTTCTATGATATATTTTGTGTTGTTCTATTATTTATTTTGTCATGCTCACGTAGTATATATATGATGTTCTATGATGTATTTTGTGTTATTCACGCAGTATACATGTGATGTTCGCATAATATACAAGTGATGTTCTATGATGTACTTTGTTTTTTATTATTCTTTTTGTTTATTTTTTCTATTTTCATTTTTATTGTATGTTTTCCTTTTCTTTTTTTCTTTCCTTTCATTCATTTATTTTCCTTTTCTCTTTTTCTATTTATAATTTTATGTTTCAGTTTTTTTTATTTAGAGATACACGCGATGTTCATGTAGTATATATGTAATGTTTTATAATGTATTTTTTGATACCCGCGAGTAGAAATGTGATGTTCTACAATATATTTTGTGATGTTCAGTAAGCATACATTGATGTTCTAGAACAGTTTTTGTGATGTTCGGTAGCATTTTTTTATTTGACTCTAATTAATTATTTCACTAATTTTATTATTTTATTTTATATTTTTAGGATATTTGTGATGTTCATATAGTATACATATGATGTTCTATGCTTTATTTATCGATGTTTGTGTAGTCTTAATGTGATGTTCTATGATGTTTTTTTTTTATGTTCGATAGCATTTTTTCTTCTTTTTATTTGACTATAATTAATTACGTCACTAATTTTATTTTTATTTTTTACATTTCATGATATATATGATGTTCGCGTAGTATACATATTGTGTTCTATGCTATTTTTCTGCGATGTTCGTGTAGTGTTAATGTGATGTTCAACGATTATCTTTAAATACATATTCATCATGAGATAAATGTTAGTTAAATTTTTTTTATCGAAATATATTCATGTGGGGTCTTGTTTTGAAGAGTTTATTGCAAGAAACATGATGGTGCAATCGGATTTGAATTAGGATACTTGGTTTAGGAGCTATGGCTTCTTTTTACTTCAAAAAATATGGGATATATGCTGATATCAGCAATTTTGACTTTTATTGTATGGCTGCTGCCTGGTCTGTTGTTTAGTCCAAGAAGACAATTGAATTGGACCCAATTTGATGAAGGGAGTGAGGAAGTTAATTATTTTTCTAGGAGGAGAGGGGAGGTCGGCGGGATTCACAGGTGAGGGGGGTCGATAGCTAGTCGCCCCCGTTGGAAGCCGGGCTGGCCGCGATGTCGCCCGTTAGGGCTCCCTCTCCTCGGGAGGACCCAGTTGCCTATTCGCCCGATTTGGGCCCATTGCGCTCGGCCCAAATTGTGTGCCATGAGGTCCAGGAGGACCATCATTGATTCCAGCCCCATTCGGGGTTGGTACGCCAGACCAAGGCCTATGTATGACGAGGGCCGCTTTCTGGCAATGGCCAAAACAGTGGTGGCCCAAGTCACGGATTGGGAGATTATGGAACTAGAGTTTTGCCGCAAAGATGGCCCATTCCCCATCTGTCGATGCTGTCGATGTTGTCTGTCGAAGAAGAACTGAAGGCGCGTGTTTGTATTCCTATACAGATGCCCATCCTCCGCGTTGGGCCAAAGCTCCGGAAGTCGCGTCAGCCGAGGTCTGTTACCTCCATCAGACGGAGTGGTCGACTTGCGGTCAAGCCAACGGCGGCCAATGCCACGTTGCAGGCACAATATGTGCTTATGCAGAAGCTGGGGCTTCCGGTTGACTCTGAGCCGCAAGACCCCGAGGCGTTCGAGAAGTGTCACGCGACTTTTGCTGCTCCGTTGTCGCCGAACAAGCAGGGAGCATTGCAGCTACTCTTCTCCAATGAGTTTGACCCGGTGGCCATAGAGCTCAATCTGGCCGAGTTGCAGGGTGTGGATATGTAGGCGCTGTCCTCTCCCCACTCCCCCCCTTCGTCGCAAAATGGTTGTTTAAATGTCGACGCCAACAACATGCTTTATTTGGAACGTGCGGGGACTTAATGGTCGCGCACGCCGTAATGTCGTTAGGGACTTTGTCGCTCAGGAGCGTGCTACGTTCGTCTTTCTTCAGGAGACCAAGCTCTCCAACGTTTGTAATGCCGTGGCAATTGAAATATTAGGAACCTCTTTTGATTATGAGTATCTCCCAGCGCTGAATGTTTCCGGGGGAATCTTGTTGGGCTGGCGCTCCAACTGTTGAGTGGTAACCGACGTTGTCAAGGGCCTATTTTTCACTCTCGGCTAGGGTCTCCCAGGATGGCAATCCGGCCGACCACTGGTTCATCACCATCGTCTACGGGCCGCAAACTGACGACCAGAAGGTCCAGTTCTTGAATGAACTTTTGCAGTTCAGGAACGCGACAAACGGCCCTTGGTTCCTTTGTGGGGACCTCAATATGATCTATAGGGCGGAGGACAAGAATAATGGTTGCCTAGATTGTCGTTCTATGCGTCGTTTCAGGGCTTTCCTGAACACGGCGCAGCTAGAAGAGCTGCATCTGCTAGGCCAACGTTTCACCTGGTCCAGTGAAAGGGAACAACCGACCCTGGAACGCCTTGATCGTGTTTTTGGCACGGTGGACTGGTTTGGTGCTTTCCCGAATCATGTGCTCAAAGCCCTCCTCGGATTGTTCAGATCATTGCCCACTGTTGCTAATAACAAATGCAATCCCATGAGTGAAGAAGAGTTTCGGCTTTGAACCATACTGGGTGAACCTTACGGGCTACATGGAGGTTGTCGCAGCTGCGTGGTCTGCAATGCTGTTGCATGCGGATCCCTTCCGTGTCCTAGACTACAAGCTTCGGAACGTCGCCAGGGCACTGAAGAGCTGGAGCGACAAAAGGATTGGAAGCGTTCGCTTGCAGCTTGCGCTTGCGCGGGATGTCGTGCTGCGTCTGGACGAGGCACAAGATTCCAGGTCGCTGTCAATTCAAGAAGCACTGTTGCGACGGTCATTGAAAGTGAGGATCCTGGGCTTGGCATCGCTGTCGCGCACAATTGCCAGGCAGCGATCTCGCATGCTGTTCCTTGGGGAGGGTGATGCGAACACAAAGTTCTTCAATCTCATGGCCTGCCATAGGAAACGAAAAAAATCACATTCACTCCCTGCGGATCCAGGGGAATGAGGTCGTTCGGGATGAGGCCATGCCACAGGCTTTATACGAGCACTATGACCAGCTGCTGGGGGCCAATTTTGTGCGCTCCAGAAGATTTGACCTCGAGCAGATTGGGGTACCGTCCATGGATCTAGCCGGACTTGTGATGTTATTTACTGAAGAAGAGGTTCTCTCGGTAATCAGAGAAATTCCAAATGACAAAACGCCGGGTCCGGATGGGTTTACTGGTCACTTCTATAAGACGGCCTGGACCATAATAAAAGGGGACATCATGAATGCCTTCAATGCGTTTTGGTCACAAGAAGCTCGGAGCTTCAACCTCCTGAACGACGCCTACATGGTGTTGCTGAAAAAGAAAGAGCAGCCGCAGGAAATCAGAGACTATCAGCCGATAAGTCTCATGCATAGCTTTGGGAAACTGATCACAAAGTGCCTAGCGAGTCGCCTGGGGGCTACCATAGATTCTTTGGTACACGTCGCAATCAGAGCGCCTTCATTGAGGGACGGTGCATACATGATAACTTCCACACGGTTCGTTTGTCCTGCAAGGTGCTATATGCAAGGCGAGTCCCCTCTGTGCTCCTCAAAATTGACATCGCCAAAGCCTTCGACTCCGTCTCCTGGACTTTCCTTCTTGAGGTGCTGGCTCACATGGGTTTTGGGCTGCGTTGGAGAAATTGGATTTCAGTGATCCTATCCACGGCCAGCACAAAGATCCTCTTAAACGGTCACCCAGGAAGACGGATTTGCCATGCTAGAGGTCTGCGGCAGGGTGATCCGCTGTCGCCATTGCTGTTTGTGCTAGTAATGGAGGTCTTCAGCCGGTTGCTGCTGTGGCTGGATGACCACGGTTTTCTAACTCCGCTAGGGGTCAATGCTGTCCGAAATCGGTGCAGTCTTTATGCAGATGACGTGGTCTTGTTCCTTGTTCCGGTAGAGCGTGATCTACAGGTTCTAAAAGGGGCGCTGGAGCTATTTGGCAAGCCATTGTTAGCTAATCTACTGCCACTTTGTGTGAACATAGCAGAAGAAGGCGACACCGACTTAGCCGCCTGCTGTGTGTGAACACAGCAAGGAAAGGCGGCGCCGACTTTGCCCCATGCTGTGATCTAGAGTGAGCCGCTGGGTCTGAGACGCCGCAGACGGCTCACCTGCAACAAAGATCAGAAGGAACAGCAAAGGCGGCGCAGAAGTCAGATCTCTGTCGAGTTATCTAGTTATCGTGCAAAGATGGGCGCCGCACATGGACTAGATAGTTAGAGTTGTATAAATAGACATGTATGGCAACTCAGTAAAGAGAGTTCAGATTTGCCATCACACAGACAGGGCCTCGGCCAACGCTGTTGTCTTGTATTGTGCGTGCTTGCTCTGTTCTCCCTTCTCCCAACTCCGTCCGTAGTGTGTGGGTACGGACAACGTCGGTATGTGGTCTGCATGGCTAGTGGGTGCTCGGCAACACTAGCGCGTGCTCGGCGAGACCGTCAATTGCTCCTCTCGCCTGAGCCGGTGCATAGCAAGATCGGCTAGAGTGGTTCACTGACGTGAGCCGGTGATCCTGTGAGACCAAGGGTGGTCTGGAGGCTATCTGTAGTGGTCTGGAGGCCATCTCGGTGGTCTGGAGGCTATCTGTAGTGGTCTGAAGGCCATCTCGGTGGTCGGGAGGCTAACTGTGGGCCAACAAGTGGTATCGGAGCGATACAAGCGCCGTCATCATTCTAACCGATGGCGATGACAGGCGGTTCGGAGTTGGGCGACGGCAATGGCACTGTCGTGGCTGCCCAGCCACTACCGGATGTAGTTGTTCGCATGGTGCGGGAGGTCAACGACACCAC